AAAAAATAGAAATTACATTCGTTTTCTCGGAAGTCTCTTTTTATTGCCAAGTCAGGGCCAGAGTCGGGAACAAATCCGCTGTCATCTGACCCCGCATTCGTGCTGAATTCGCCAGGTGGTGATTCGTACTGATTCCCACCTACAATCAACTCCCAATCCGAGTGGATAAACAGGGTGCACGTGTGGATGGCAACATCTCGTACTTCAGTAACTCTACTGGATGGTTACTTTATGCATGTTGACTGAAATACGTAGGGACACGAAATGAATGTATGACACTCGCCGAATTATTCACTCCTTGCATTGTTCGCATAAAGGCATCTACGCCGTGACAATTTATCCACGCATCCCCCATTGTACGTGTGATACCACGGGTACAATTTCCCTTCTGGTGTTAGAGAAAGACGTAGTATTAACATACAAATACATGCCCGTGTGAGGGGTGCATGAAGTTCTACAGGTGGCCGTAATGTGTGCGACGTGTCTTATCTAGTATTGAACTCGCACACTTGTTATTTCTATAACTTCATTGAATGTTGTGTATTTTCTGTTCCGGTTTTGTGTCATGGTGTATGCGCATAGTCCCAAATGGCTCGTCTCATAAACCTGAAGGATGTAGTTAGTGGCACCCAACAAATATCTCATTGAAAATGACCGATTTCGAAGCCATATGCAAAAAATAATCCATAGACAAATAAAACTATGCAACGTATCGACTGGACTTGGGACGTCACCAACGCATCAAGTGATTGTTCAATCATAGACGTGAGTTCACGTAGCAGACTTGACTCAACTTGACTTTTCGATGTGTCTCCATGTTTTACAATAGACAGGGAATTTTACGTAGTGATGTATCGTCTCAAATTTATTATCTTTGCTATTACCACGTATCAGTAGCAGCATTTATGAGAGTGAAAGTGTGAGCGGCGTGCATTTAATATATATTTGTTTTATCGTTGACCGCAACGTGACATCACTCTAAGCGTACGTACATCGTGGTCATCGCCGTGACATCGTAGTTCAACGAGGATTCCAAATGACATGATACGGTAAATCCGCAGTTCAGACAAAGACTATTGTTGATATAAGCCTGAATCAATGCCACATCACTGCGTCATTATTTATGTCGTTATGGGATGCCTATGTAGCTCAGGTCCATGCTCTATAGAGGCAAGCCTAACTGGACCGTTACACACATCGATGTTTATTCACACTTTCCCGGGGCAAGTGAATTGGGCCTTTAAAATACCGGACCAGTACAGATATTTATAATTGTGTGCATTCTAGTTTTATAAACATTATTTTCAAACTCCACTGTGTAGCATGTACGACAATGCACAAGTGTTGCGCTGGTTACACAAACTATTAATTCATAATTAAAAAAATAATTAATTGTGAACAGTCATGGTACTTAACCGGTCAAGGAAACAATATTGTACCTAGAAAATTCTTCATTAATACTTGCTTGTACATGTTGAGGTGTAATATAAACATCATGTTCTGAGTGTCTACTTATTTATGTACAATTACTTGTCTCGGTCGTGCGGCTTACGCGCCATCGCAAGCTCGGTCGCTTCCGTCGCACGACCTCGGGCCGCAAAAGCCGTATCCAGTCCATAAAGAATAATATCACGCCCATGCCTTGTTTACCATATTTGGTAAAGACGTCTATTTCCTGGAACTACTTTATGTTTACAAACAACACGCGTAATTTGAGATTATCGTCTGCGCTTCAATAATGGCTGACGATAATATTCAGTGAATGGGGAATATACGGAAAGAACAGTTGGACTCATTATTATTTGGTGATAATAAAGTCGACAGTGTCGCGGAAAATGTCGGGAAAGAAGATTTAGAAGCTGTCGGCGATTTTATAAAATAATATATGTCGACCATCGTAAGCTATCGGAGATTCCATCTACGACACTGAACGAATACTTGGCTACATTCATTGTTAACTTGAAGAAACCAGCATTCGTCTCTGCAATAAAGCATACTAGTAACTCAGAAAGATATCTCACCGAAAACAACAACGGAGTATCTCTGTCTGATAAACAGTTTTCGTTAACAAATGGTGCTTTGAAGGCAAAACGGATGCTCCTCAATAAAACTGGCCTCGGTTGCTGTAGTCACGCCAGTGAAGTAATATCCCCGGAAGAAGACGCAATGTGGAAAGAAGGTAAACCAGGGACCGCCGATTGAGACACCCTCAATATTACGCTGTGGTATTTATTTATCAAACATTTCGGACTTCGCGGCCGGGATGAACATAGAAAGTTGTGCCATGGCGATAGTACTGTACAACGAGATTATGCGGTACACGAATTTCTGCAGTTCAAAGAACGCGACACTAAAACTCGTGATTGAAAGTGTGGTGATCGGCGTGTGGTTCCTCCTCGTATGTTCGCCCTTCCCGACAGTTCCAGGTACCCTATCCGAATTTATAGAGAGCATGTTCGACACCGTCCGATTAATACATGCGGGCTCGACAGTTCGTTTTATATCCAACCGATTCCCGCATCTCGTGTCAATTCACTTTCGTGGTATTCTTCTCGTCCGATGGGGAGAAACACGATAGCATCATTCATGCCCCGAGCTGCCGCTTCTATGTCCATTAACGAAGAAAAAAAAAACAATCTGTTTGGAAGACGACTGTAACGTACAAACCCTGACAAATATTTGACTACATTTGTGTAGTGTGTAGTGTGTGAGAGTTGTTGACGCGTTTGCGTCGTTTAGAAACAGTAAAAAAGGCCAACAACGAAACCCGGATTAAATCGAATAGATTTTCTTTTGGGGCCAAACAAGCGAAAAATAACATAACTAAAGACTTTTTTATATCAGGTATATGATAACAACTTTATGGACTGGATACGGCTTTTGCGGCCCGAGGTCGTGCGGCGAAAGCTCCAGTCCATAAAGAAAAATTTGGCGAGTTTTATAGTTTTTTCGCAGCTCAATCGCGGGTTGAATATTGCCACAGTGCACGTGTGTTACTTCTTTGTAAAAAAGGACAATGGACAAGTTACCTGTAGAAGTCACTGACGGTCGTTGTTTCGTATCCAGGGTGATGCTGCTTAAAAATGATATTTTAAATATCAGGCGCCGTGCAGTTGAGAGTAAGTCAGTGCTGAAAAACAGTTCTCTTTTAGTAAAAAGGTATCGATGTGAACAAAGAAACTAAAAACGTTCCGTCATTACAGGTTTGTTTTCTCTAAGACTGATTTATGTTTAGTTTCCACTCTCGGCGGTAATATACATGATTGTGGAACACGCATGATGGACTCGTGCAAGCGAGAATACTGTTCAAAAACTGGCGTTGTGAGAGACATATGGATAAACATAGCATTCCTAAAAAGACTTATTGTACGAACCTGTAGTTTAATGGTGCAGCACCACTTGAACATTTCCGTAGTTGTACAGCTATATTAATATCTGTCTACACGTAGTCACGACAGCAATCTATATATGTCCATAATAATAATATATGGCTTATAGCTACCATTATTTATCATATATATCAATAAATGTTTGTCTACCAGTTAATCCCCAATTTTTATCTCTTTTCCTTATTCGAATGTACTGTGCATATTCAGTAATATTTTTTTTTTATTTTTTCCGAAACGTGTGATTTACCTAACAAAATTGAAACATCGTACCCTCAAATCGGCCACATATCATATTGAGGTCGTATTGATGTTTACTCAACTGTATGACCTCCATGTGTGACCAGACGAATTCGGTGACCCGTTACGATATATATATAGGTTATTTACGGTTGTCCTTCAGTTAAAATAGAGATTACTCGATATCGCTAAGTTGCAACCGTGCTCAATAAAGTACACTATCGATGTTGGTAAATAACAACTATGCTCGTGAACATAATACCGATTTTGCTACATTGCAATCGTGCTTCATAAACACACAAGATATGTCTCTAAATTCCAACCAAGCTCGATAAAACACGCTACAGATGACGCTAACTAATATGCCTGCCATTTGCGACTTTGAACAATTAAAATCGCTCAACGTGAAATCAATAAATGTCGACGCCTTTACTATTTCAGTTCAGATTTGTTCGGCTAAGTATAAATTTATGGCAAAATTACGAAATATAAATTAACGCATCAAAACAGAGTAATTAAGATTCTAGGATTCAGGCAAAAAATATATCTCTATCTAATAGAGCAATCAATATTTATAAATAACATGACATATTAAAAAATTAACATGGTACGTGTTCAACAAATCCAAAAAATAGAATAAAAATGAAAACAAATAATGATTAAACATCAACTTCAGTGAAGCCAATATCATCGATGCATTCTTCAACATCTCCTACTACAATTAATTATTGTCATTTTGTCGTGATATGTACGCTATTGAATTAAAAAAAAAACCTTTGAAGATTAGTACACAATATAAATAATTTTGCACAGCATTTCAATCTATTTTTGTTACATTAGAGTAGTATTTAATATTTGTTTTAATCTAATTACAGGTTACTCGTATTTAGAACATCGTAACAACACCATGAAACAGACGGTCCTCAAGCATCAAACCATATGTGATGGCAAATTTATTGAGCATCTCGAGCAAATTCTTCAAGGCCACCTTGCCCAAGCTGCAATTGCACGACAGAGACATGCATGGAAATGCTTTCTGAGCTTCACCTCCCAGTACAGCTCCCTAATATATTTCCAAATTCCACTCTCTGTTCCTGTAATGGCATTGTTTATTTCGTATATACGGGTCAAAGGTTACACCCAAACAACCAATGAGATTACAGTTCTGCAATTAGTTATATGC